GGGAGTTTTTGAAGGCTAGGGTTAGCAGAACGAAGTCATTTTGCTAATTCTCCCTCTTAGCCCTTCAAGTTTTCATGTTTTTACAAAATGGTCCATTGGCTTCTAATTTTATTATTCAACCCTTAGTTAAAATTAGGTTATGACAGTTGCCCCTTGTTTACTTTTCTTTTTACAGAAAGAAATGTAAAAGATAAAAGAATAACCCAATTTTAAGCTCGGAAAATAATAATAGGAAAGATCTCATCATGATACTATCTTATTTAAAGGCTTTAAGCTAAATGCAATGTGCAAAATTTTATGTAATCAACAAACCATTTATAGGTGAAAGCTTCATCTTTTTCCTTAAGATGTGGTCTTCATCTCTGCTTTTCTAGAGATGTGGTTTTATTTAGGATGTGTCTTTCTAAGATGCGGACTTTTTCTTTTCTTTTTTGAGATGCAGTCTTCATCTTGTCTTCTTCAATATGCAGCTTTTATCTCCTTTTCTTCCTAAGATGTAGTTTTCATTTATGATGTAGTTTCTAAGATGCAGACTTCATCCTTTTTTTTTTCAAGATGCGGTTTTCATCTTTACTTCTCCTAAGATGCACTCTTCATCTGAGGTATGGCTTCTGAGATGTGGTCTTTATTTTATCTTCTACAAGATGTAGACTTCAGCTCTTATTCTCTTAAGATGTACTCTTCATCTCTTTTTCTTCTAAGATGCATTTTCATCTCTTCTTTTCCCAAGATGTAGTCTTCATCTAGGATGTAATTTTCTAAGATAAGGTCTTCATCTTTTCTTGTTCAAGATGCAATCTTCATCTATACATGCATATGTAGAAGAGGTAGATGAAATCTAGAGTAATCTAAAAGAGCATTTTTCTCAAGGCAACACCTTGCGGGTGCATGAATTGGAGCTTGAATTGGCCACACTCACACAACAAACCAAGATGGTGGTTGCATATTTCACCAAATTGAAGCCAATTTGGGACAAGTTACAAGCCTATGAACCAACAACAATATGTACTTGTAGCTGCACATATGGAGCAGCAAAGGAATACATGAAGTCTTGAGAATCAAAGAAAATACACCAATTTTTGATGTGAATGAATGACAATTTCTCAACCATTCGATCTCAAATTTTGAACACGGATCCACTTCCTCCTTTGAACAAAGTATATGCCATGGCAACTAAAGAGGAAAAGCAACAAGTAGTGGCTTCCTTAAAGGGACTTGTCATAGAAGCTACTACCTTGGTAGCAAGGGCCAATCCTTATACATGCACAGCTCTACCAAGAAAGGTGCATTGTGATCACTGTAAAAAGATTAGACACAGCAAAGATAGGTGCTTTGAGATCATAGGCTATCCAACAAATTGGAAGTCGGGAATAGCTAAGACAAAAAGTAAGGGAATTCCACCAAAGCTACAAAGTCGCAAAAAGGATATGATCTTTGCAACCAATGTGTTTCATGAATCACAAGATGTTGGTGGTTCACAAGACTGGTCTCCAATTGCCAAGCTTACCAAGGATTCATGAGATCAACTCCTTTACTTCTTAGGGGTAATACTATCTTTGGTCGCTCAACCAACTTAGTTGGTAAGACCCAAAATTTTCTTATCGTTGGATTATTGATAATGGACCCTTTGATCACATGACCCCTCATTTGTCTAAGCTTAGTGGAACCAAACCATATATTTCATTTGTTCACATACCAAATAGATCCTCTATGAAAATATATCATATAGGTAAAGCTATCTTGAATGATGAACTGACCCTTGACAATGTTCTTTGTATTCTAAGTTTTAGGTGTAACATCCTCTATTAGCAAAATAATGAAGCATCTTAATTGTGTAGTCATATTCTTTGCTAACTTTTGCATTTTCCAATACCTTACCTTGAAGAAGTTGATTGGAGTGGGTAAGCTTAGTGAAGGGATATATCATGTAATTTTGGACATGTTGCAATGGCTAATTAGGTGAAGTAGTTTAAGGGGTTGTCATTTGAGTTGTGGCATAAAAGACTTGGACACATGCCCATTAATCGTCTGTCCAAAATTCCTTTTTTATGCTCTTGTCCTTTAGAAATCAAACATGTTTGTGATGTTTGCCATAGAGCAAAATAAACAAGGTTATCTTTTCCTATTGGTAATAGCACTACTTCTCATTTCTTTGCTTTGATTCATTGTGACATTCAGGGTAGGTATGCCACACCTTCTAACATTAGTGCTCATTATTTTTTAATTATTGTAAATGATTTTAGTTGTTGCACTTAGGTTTATCTCCTAAAACATAAGTCTGAAGTTGCCTCATATTTGATAAATTTTTGGCGTATGGTTGAAACTCAATTTCAAACTCGTGTTCAACAGATTCCAGTGACAATGGGAAGGAATTTACTAATGGACTTGTGAAAGACTTTTGCCTTCAGAAAGGGATTTTGCAACAAACCTCTTGTGTTAATATGCCTTAACAAAATGGTATCGTGGAACATAAACACCACCATTTACTTGCAGTAGCTCAAGACTTACGTTTTCAAGCTAATTTGCCTTTGAATTTCTGGGATGAGTGTGTTCTAACAGCCACATATTTGATTAATTTAATTCCAACCCTTGTTCTTTCTAGTCTTACTCCTTTTGAAAAGCCTTATGGTAAGGCCCCTTGCTATGATCACTTGAAAGTTTTGGATGTCTTTGCTATGCTCATAATAATTCAAAAAATCGAAACAAGTTTGATCCAAGAGCCTCAAAATGTATTTTTATAGGCTATCTTTTTGGTAAACGTGGATATAAACTTTATGATTTAGAACATAAGCAAATTTTTGTATCATGGGATGTTGTATTCTATGAAGAAACATTTCCTTATGAGCTATCCAAGGGTATAGAAGAAAAATTAGCATTTACTAACTCTAATGTCATAGAACATGGTTCTGAAGACCCATGCTTATCCATCAACTGAACCAACAACCTACAAGAAGACAAAACAATTATTGTCGACAAGATAGAGAATGTTGTCATTCCTCATGAAACTGACATCCATCCCACATCTTCTACAAATCATTCAGAATCCGAACCGGAGTCTATACCCTAAGTGCTTCCACCATCACGGCCACATCACGAGCAACATGCACCCAAACACTTTGATGATAATGTTTGCAATATTCCACCATCAGTTGATCCTAAGCAGGTCCCCTTCTACTCAATAAACTCAGGTACTCTTTATCCACTGTCCAATCATGTGTCCTATGCATCTTTTTCCCCTAACCATCAAGCTTATCTTACCGCCATCACATCCATGGATGAGCCAAAGACTTTTTCCCAGGCCATTGGAAATGAGAAATGGAGAGAAGCAATGAAGATTAAGATACAGGCCCCTGAACGGAACAGCACTTGGACACTAGAATCTTCGCCTCTTGGTAAATAGGCCATAGGCTCAAAATGGGTATACAAAATCAAGTATAGACCAAATGGAACAGTGGAATTTTACAAAGCTAGATTGGTAGCACAAGGATTCACCTAAGTAGAGGGACTTGACTATCATCAAACATTTGCACCTGTTGCAAAATTGGTGACGGTTCGAACACTACTTGCCATTGCGTCGATAAGATTAGAAATTAATTCTAAATGCTAATACCCAACAACCAAGCAATCCAAGAAGGGTTTCAAGAGGAGATTTCACCTGAAAAACACTGCTATCCACCCAAGCTGTAATGAATTTCAAAAGCTCTTTCCAAAATGTAACAAGCTTTAGAGAAATATGATCCTTTTTTCTGAGTATCCTTGAACCAAGTGCAAAGAAAAGAATGATCTGACCCATAAATTGGTGTTTTGAGATGTTAATTTAGGGGAATAGCTTGGCATTGCCATGAAATAAGATCTAGAGTTGGAACATTGGTTTGATAGTTTTAGGCTGATGACTAGGGAAGAAAAGATGTAGGAAATGTTTTTGGGTTTTATTGGATTGAATGGAAAACTTTAAACAGAGTCTAATGGAAAGTAGAAGGAAAGTTGGAGGCCAGAATTTACAGGGGAGGTGAGGCAGCAGGAAGAGGACGGAAAATAGCATTTTGGAGCGCCTAACAATGGCTTCCATAGGCTACGGAGGAAACTACTCTCATGGGAGAGCAGAAAGCCCTAGGGCTAGAGTAATTCTAGAGGTGATTAATGTGGATATAACTCAAAGATTGATTATTTTGAAATTTTGATAGTTTCAACTTGGCCTTACGAGCAAACCATCCTAGAGGCGATTAAAGGATGCTTGCTTTTGTTCCCCAACCCAACCATTCTATGTTATATATATTGAACTTGATATTTTTTATGGAGGTGAAACTAGGGCTTATGCCCTCATAAAGTAGAAGGGTATTACAAATGTGAGGGAAGTGTTGAAGGAGCGTGGTGTTTTGGTTAGTCTGCTTTGAGGTACTTGTAAAGTTGTAGTAATAGCCATTATGGAGAATAGTTTTCATTATATTTTAAGGATGAGTTTGGAGTCTCTTTGTATGGAAGTATTTTTTCAGATAGTTTTGACCAATCCAATTTAATATAAATCATGTAAAGTTTACAGATTCTTTGAAAATATTAAACAGCTTTCATTAAGTAGATTTTATACCGAAAAAAGACATTATAATTTAGAAGTCTAAAGAAACCCAACCAAACAGAGAAAGAAAAACATGGCACTAAAATAGATACGCACTTATAACTAAAGCAAGACGCAAGAGGATATACATGAAAACATTTCAAACTAGTCTATGCATGCACCCTAACCCCCTGCACTTCTCACACACCTCGATGCTATCTGCTAATTGACGTTGTTCCCTCCATACTAAAGGTTTGAGGCACTTTCAAGACCAAGGGAAAACTGTGAATGTTGTTTGAAGTAGGGTAAGTAGAAGCAAGAAAGATGCTGCAAGAAAGGAGATCAAGGCCCATGGAGTGTTGAAATAATTGTGCCTTAAGCTTGCCACCCTTTTGTTCCAAGGTTTGTAGTAATGTCTGTTGACATCATTAAATAATTTGGCATAAAAGAAGTTACTTCTGTCGACGATGACTTCAGTTCCAAGCCTATTAAATATCTTGGCAGCTGCTTCGTCAGTGCCTAACCAGTGATGCATTATCCCTTTGTGAAAAAGTAACTCCACATCGTTTCCTGTATCAATGAGACAATACATGACTGTTATATATTCGCTCAAGTATTTTGGAGATCCATCATCAGCAAACTGTTCACAGGCAACGATATTGCAATACAATCTCTCAGTATGATCTTCAAGATTCAAAGCTGGAATGTAAAGTGTCCCATTTTCAAACTTTATATCAAACAAGTTGCGTCCCTTACCCCTTCTGAACTCAATTCCTGCCTCCCTTAGTTCTGTAGCAGAACGTATGAACTTCATTTCTTGCACATTCGTGTATTCATGCATGGTATCATCTGAAGGAATCCAATTGGTGCGTAGCAAGTCTAGTAGATGCTTGACCTTTTTTATTGAATTTTCATCATAGGTTAGATGAACCGTGAGCCCTGGCATCATTACTTCAAAAAACCTAATAATGATACCAATGCAATGGAATCGATCTTCAAAGGCGTTGCCTAGAAACTCCCATAGTACAAAAAAGGGAAGTTGATTCTCAACTAGTATCAAATCTTTCACAATGTTTGTGAAAATCTGACTCACATTTAAGATAGAATCCTGCTGCCAACTTCCCTCTTTTATCTTGTGAATTAGCTCGACAATAAAACATCCATCAATAACCATCATTTCTATAAATTCTTCATGAGAAATGCCCAAAGATTCCGAATAACAGTTAACAGCACTTTCCATCATGCCTGTCATGGCCTCCACATATCTTTGAGTACTATTCTCATTTCTTCGTTGAAGAAGATCTTTTAGAAAACGCACCTTGTGTGTTTCCATTGCTTTTAAATGATCTTTCTGACGATGATAAGGGCCAATAGATATGATTGTAGGTTCATAGGCTTCTTCATTGAGCTTTCGTAAATAATGAGGCACTCGAAAAATTTTAGGCCACGAAGTTCCAGCAGGAAGGCCCTGTATCCAGCCATCTATACGAATCTGGATAGTGTTATTCATTTGCGCCATCCCCTGATACAGTATATAGAAATTTAATTTGTTGACAATTAGATATACCATGAATTGCTAAGGATAAAAAGTTAAGGTAAGCTTTCAGAAAGAAACACATCTAATTTTTTTAGCAAAAAATGTTAAGATATAAGAAAATGATTCAGATACCTACTTATTCAATGCACGTCCACCTCCAGCCGTTTAACTAGTTCTCCCATGTTGTATGTATTGACAAATCCACTTAAAATTCAAAAGGATAAAAAAAATTTGAAAATTAAGTGCAAAGATTAAAAAGTTTTGAATTTATAAAGACAGACAAAATAATATAAAACAAATTATGTAAGCCAAATCACCTAAGCGTGGTCTGTGCAATCAAACTACGCTATGGTGCAGCACTAAGTGGGATAATAGCCACCCCTTAAAGTAACGTGCTTCGACATGAAATCCTAGATTTTATACTCTGGGACTACGTATCCCATCCAAAAATTAGATTATAAAATAAGACAAATTAGGTAACACAAATCACCTAACCATGGTCCCTGCAATCAAACTAAGCCATCGACTCTATGCCAAAAAATATTGGATTTGCTGTCCTAGTCATGTCCTAGACTAAAACTTCAATATTTAAAATTAAATATGCCAAAAAAAATTGAAAATCTAAGCAATAACGGACTGAAAATTCGAGATTTTTATTAAAATTGAAAGTTACTTACAATGATGAGGTGAAAAAATCGAAATCTTCGCGTACAGAGCGTCAAGAACCCAAGATCTATGTTGGTTTGAGGTAAGAACAGACTGTCTTAGACCAAAAAAAATTGAAAATCTAAGAACAGACTGAAAATTCGAGATATTTATTGAAATTGAAAGTTACTTAAAAAACCCAGAATCACCTGAAATCTCCAGCCTCCTCCGAACAAAAAAATCCTCTCCTCCCTAGCTCAAGTTTTTGCTTCTTTTCTATACCGCGCGTTGGCGTTTTTCCGAGAAGCTTCCTCGATGGCGCTGGGTAATCCGAGAATAGACAGGGCAGAAAGCTCGAGTTCATTTCCCGCGAAGGTGCGACTGAAGGGGTAATATTCGCCCTTCAATCCATATGTTTTCCTTGCCCTTTTTCGGCGAAGCTTCCTCAATAGAGCTGAGTAATCCGAAATTAGAGAAGGCAGAAGCTTGAGCTCATTTGCGGCGAAGGTGCGATTGATTATGATCTAATTTTAAGGGGTAAAATTGGCGCTTCAATCCATAGGGTTCCTCCATTTGTCATTTCAGTCTCACATTTACTTCTAGATTGCAATTGGGTCCCTCCAAGTCCAAGATGAAACCTCGATTTTAAATATTCTCAATTGAGTACAAAATAACATTAAGTGAAAATTTATCTCGATTTTTATTTGACACATTTTTTGTATTAATTTCCCCATTACAATAAAGCTCAAATATTTTGAAAATTTTCATTTAAAAGCTTGAGAAATTGTGAGAAATTAATGTTTCTAGAAAAATTTAGATTTCTCTCTTTTTTTCTTTTCTCCTCTCTCTTTATATATATATATTTCAAAGTATTAAAATGGGCTTTTCAAAAATTAAGTTATAATAATATGCATGCCTATATCTTTAAATTTTTTTGTTTTAAATATAAATTAAATAATAATAATTTTTTAATAAATATTGTAAAATATGTTAAATTAGATGGTATTTATATTAGTGTCTTAAGGTATAATATTAACATTCTTGAGAAAAAGAAAAATTAATTTAACCAGAAACTCAATATAGGAAGCAATTTTGTCAATAATCAGCTAGATCAATTGAAAATTATACATTGTTACACATGTATAAATAAAATATAAAGAAAGTAATAAAAATTTTTGACGAACATAGAAGAAGCTTACTTGTTTGGTCATTTGCTGAAGATACGAAGACTTGCAGTATCAATATTTAAAATCTTTGACACGGAGAGGCATCCACAGCCAAAATGGATGGAAGAGACTTGAGGATAAACAGATAAGTCTAATATATACAGGTAAGTCTCATATATATGTATAGAGAGGGGGAGAGAGAGAAAGAGAATTACCAAAAATACAAAAGAAAAAAAAAAGGTCAATATATATATAGGGAGAGAGATAATTACCAAAATACAAAAGAAAGAAAAAATAGTCAACAAATATGTCATCATTTCATCTTGTTTTATGCATAATACTACAAGTGAGTATGAGGCTGAGCAGTTCTTAAACTCCTATTTTCAAAAAGGGCATAAATATTTTTTAATAGACATTAAGGTGCTTCACCTCAAATATATAAACTCTCCTTTTTATTAGTTCTTTATTATTCTCCATCTCCCTCACATTTTTCTTTAAAAAAAATACAAGTATTACAAGTATACATGGTACAAATCACAATAATTAAATATAATATAATATTATTTTCATATTCTATATAAAATTTTAAATTTTTTTATAAAAGTTGAGATTAATATATATTATTTTCATATCATATATGGCGAATAGGAATGAATATTAT